GAAAATAATTAGCTGTAACTTCAAAAGTAAAATTAGTTCAAAATGGCAATACGTCAGATATTCTTTTAAAATATTTGACCAAGGTAGCATAAGTCCCATTTTTAGATGAATTTCTTGCTTATCTAAATGTCTTTCCTCACCAACTTCACAATTATAAAAGCATATTTTAGCTTGCCTTCTATGACCTTTATGCTTAGTCGCCAGCATAGGTAGAAAAACAGTCATGAATCTTTGAATTTTTTTATCCTGTGTCTGAATGCAAACATTCAGTAGTGACTTACTTGCGAATCTTAAAAGGTCTCAAAGTTCCATCATGAACCATTAGAAAACGGACAAGAGACTCTTTGCACTGATTTCTTTTGATTTTTCTTAAGAGAGAAAAAAAGGTCTCCTCACCTCTAGGGTTTTATCTTGCACAAAGTCACAGAGGAGAAAATGGATTTGCTCATTATCTTGAGCTGTAACCACTGCCCAGTGGTGTCATCTTGGGGCAGACTTAGGGGTAGTTAGGCATATGAGAGCCCAAATTGGCTGCCTAGGATTTTAATAATGGAAAATAGTTATACATACAGAAAACCTGAAAAAGCTACAACCTGTTAGAGAGGGAAAGCTCATAAATTTTCCACTAACAGTGAAATAAATATAGTGATGTATTTTGTCAAAGGCAGAAAATATGTTAAGATTTAGAAAAATGGGGCAGCCCCACCGAGCTCTGGCTCTTACTGGTGTCACTGACAAACCATATAGCTCTTATTGTTAAGTGACGAGTTGTAGATGACCCATAGCGACCTTATGAATGAAAGTCTTAAACATGAAACCTTCATCTTTTCTCCAAGTTCATAGAGTTTCCGGAGGTAAGCTCTTTTTGGAAGTGGATGCTGCTCCTGTTTCCAGGCCTATTTATTCGGGAGCTCCACAAAAACAAGGCCCGAAGGGAGGCCAAATCCAATCAGCCTAGTTGCGAGCAACCACCAAACCTAAGTCTCAACCCCAAACCAGAAAACACACCTTTGCTGAATCCAGCTGTTCCACTCATCTTCCCAGCCTGGAAATAGCCCCATACTAGTGGGCTGGCAGGCGAATGCCTTTTTAAATACAAGAGCAAATCCAATCAGCTCACACCCAAAATAAAGCTGTTGGTTGTTGGTTTTACCAGGTTGATACATCAGGGTAGATGCACCTACAATTCCCATGGCCTAGCCTTGCCTATCCTCATAGGGTCTGGGTGGGTCATTTAAATGACTAATAGCAGCAAAGAGATGGGGCTCTGGTGATGTCCACAGTGCATGCTTCACCCAAAGCTAATACCCCTTTCCAGGCTTGTCCTGTTGAACCATAAACCCAGTATGGTAGTATTTCTCAGGTTTTTGACAGAAGCTGGAATCTAGGTTTTTAATGCCCATTTTTCTATTTTTTTAAATGTTAGTAATTAGATTTTATTTGGCAGGGGATTTGTAGAACTCCACTTGCAGAATGAATACAATGCATAGCTATGAACTCCGTTTACTGTGATCCAGAACACTGAATCCCCTTGCATGAGTATGAGGAAGACTAGGGTTGCATCTTTAGAATCAGTCTTTCTTCTCATGGTAGGGACTGAGATTGCTCCTTAAATTCCCAGGTTCTTAAGGAGAATGTAACATTGCTTTTTGGTTCTGTGGAGAGAGAAAACCGGGAATATCATATGAAAAGTTGAGTTTCTCGTGCCAGTCTATTAAAGTTAAGGGAGAATTAGGTGGGACCTGGAACTATGTTCCCTTGTTTGTGAATATCTAAATTCTTTGGAAGTGGAAGTAACTGTAGTGATCCTATGGACATTTTATAGATCCTCCAAGGATCTATGAAGACCTCCAGGGTCTTCACCCTGAACAGCAAACACTGAGAGAGAATTCACTGCAGATCTTCTCAGCTCACGGGAGAAGATAGGGCGTTGGCTCATAACTACCGGAGTCATAAGTGAATGCAGTTTATCCAGGATGCAGATAAAACTTTGTCACTGGCTTTAAGAAGAAAGGACATTTATAAATCTAGTAAAAACGTGTCATATTGGTTTGGGGCCTGTGTCGGGTTGTTTCCTAACATTCACATGGCTGCAATGAAAATGAGAAAGCAGTTTGGTAGATGTATTCTCTTAGCATAGACTAAAGCCATAACTGGTCCACAGCTGTCAGGCTGATTTTGACTCAAAGTGATTGATTTTATTGGACACAGACATGGTCATAGAAATGCTCAACACGAATGAATACATCAAAAACCATACTTTATTTTATGTATAGCAATACAATTTACATATTAAATAACACTATAATAGAATGATTTGATATAGTTTCAACAGAAGGAAAAAGGGAAAATTTCCAGGTTACAAAACCCCTCCCCCCTTGAACAAATTAAAAAAAAATCATCATCACTTTTTCCAAATGGGTCAATGCGACAAATGTGTTCAGTGGCTAAATGTGTCTGATTCCTATTGCACACACGGTCAATGGGATTGAAAAGAAAACCCAACTTTCACAATCACCTCTCAAAGAAATAACACACGTTGGATTCTTCTGGAATGGAGATATGGTTCTTGCTACTTCAATACACAGAAAGTTAAATTCACATATTCACCACAAAAAAAAGAAAGAAAAAGAAAACTATGACAGAGTTGAAACTAGAAAAAAATTAGCTTTATATGAAAATATAAAATTCTATGATTATATACCATAGATACAAAGTTCCCAGAAGATGCTTATCCAAGCAACAAAATATTTACAGTTGTAATGACTTTAGCGATCTCAGAATGAAGAGAAAGAAACGGGAGTCGGCATGAAGGCTGAGTTATTTGGAAACAATGGCTGCTTGCTAGTTTCAAATGTCCTAACAAAAAAAGGAGTCACTACCCCAAATGTTGGAGAGTTGCGACATTTTATAAAATTGACTGTCTCCTTTTCTGGAGAGGTTTATTTTCTTAAAACTCAAGATAGTTTTCTTGAAATTAATTATCCTCTGTAGAAAATGCTTCCCTTTGCAAATATTTAACAAAAATACTAAAAACAGTTTAACAGCTAAGACAAAGTAGAGGCCAAATGTCATTATTACAATTCCTTCCTATTGGTAGCATGCCTTCTTTCTAGAGATAAGGAAAGCCATTATTGTATGTTAAAATGGCAAGTAAGGGGAAGCGCAAAGGTCTAAGGGAAATGATACTTGTTTTAAAAAAAAAGAAAGAAAAGCAGGCATTTCCCCTTCATATAAAAAGTCACTGGCACCATTTAAACATAAATTTTAGAACACAAGCATGAGAATGCATTTCCCCACCCAGTAAGTGTAACCACTAAATTCTTAAGACAACTACATTTGGGTGATTATTTTTAAAATTACGAGTTTGGGTTTCTTTTGTTGTTGGTTTTTTGCTTAGAATTAGTAATATGTCTATCTTTGGTAAATTGGTACCTATATTTTAATTTTAAATATAGTATATATTTAAGAAATAAATTTGTCACAAGGCAGTTGTGCTGTTACTATAAAACAATTAAGGTTATATGTTTCAGTATGTCACTCAGGGCTAAAAACTCCACCAGTCAGACTTGAAACACGGTCATTCTTTGCTAACTTTGCTGGATTCCTTCGCTTAAAATGGACTTTAAAATAAGTTTCCAGACATGAAACACTCAGAAAACCAATATAAAGGAAACTTTTCCCCCCGCCCTTGGAATCTGGCAGTGAGTGGGGTATTTTTAAGTATTGAAAAAGAAACCATGGCTTTAGAATACATGGAAGAGTTTTCGTTATGGCAGTAGAGTATCTTTTTCTTTGAGCTCTAGCATGGTCACTGGATCTGGATATCTCAGTTGTTTCGGATGATGTGAGCATTCATGTACCTAGAGCTAAATCTGTCCTTGCAGAAAACTTCTCAGCATAGCACATGTTAATCTGCAATATCTATTTCCTTTCCCCCTGACTCGGAGAAGTCGTGATCTTGTTCCAATAGGTAAGCAAGATGGCTCTATTTCAAGAAAAGCAGTCTTTGAAACGCAGTGTCTGTGGAAAGATGCAAGCTCATTTTTGCCAATGACAAAGGGCGAGTAAGAGGGAGGATATACTCAGTGGTGAACACGAGGAGCTGCCCAGTGTAACAGGAACGATGTCCCTCAGTGTGTTCGGTTCACTTTGGCAAGATGGACAAATAGCAGTTGCTCATAGTTCAGTGGGTGATGCTCTGTAGACTTTGGTTTGAGCCTGCTCTACGTACATGATTGCTCATCCAGAACTTCTAAGCCACGCTCCAAATGCATCTATGCTATTTACTAGCTGTTTTTCCTTCTAGTATGATTTGGATCCTCTACAGAATTGTATGAATAGCACAGATGTGCCTGATGTTTGCCTTCTATCCAATGGTTACTTTTATTTAGAAAAAAAATTACTGTAAGAGACCATAAACTCCAGCTTGAAAATCACTTCCAAAAGTCAGGCCCACTATGCCATCTATAAGAAAGGAATTCACTCCTATCAGTATTGTATACAACTAAATAACCCACCCATCTGGCTGAAAGCTCTGGCTAGGAACTATACCTTTCCCTTCAGATTACTCTTGGCCTTCAGGGAGTTGTAGAGTTGCTGTGTCCAAGCTTTTCTCAATACCCGTCCTTGTGTTGCCTCTAATGGGAGCCAAGATTACACACAGATGGGGCGCCTGTTGAGTATTCGCCCAGGCCATGGCAACCCTGTGTTTCTGTCATGGATCCAGTACATAAAGTTTAGCAAACTTAGTTCAAACACCTTATCTGAATCTTTGCCTCCACAGATCTGGGAAAGCAGACTATTCTGTGCAGCTAAATCAGTGGTGAATAGATGAGATTAACCTTGAAAAATTATTATACAATGTATGAAACCTTTGAGCTTATCCTAGACCTTGAACTCCTGTACTCACTGAATGCGGCCTGTAGCATCTCTCCTCTTAACCTTGGGCCTCCCGCACCACTCTGACAGAGACCGTGCGTCTGTAGATCCACAGAACCTCAGTGCTGATGAGCATGGATATTTTTTCTGCCTACCCAAATAGAATGACAGCGGCGAGAGAAGCCTATTTGTTGACATTTATTCCCCTAAAAAGTAAACCAGAACCCTACACGTCATAACAGGTCCAGTTCTTTAGGTGATGATTTCACTTCTGACAGAACCTGTCCCTCAAAACACACACACTGGAGAAGAAACAGCTCTCAGTAAGCAGCTTATTTTTCTAACAGACTTGACTGAAATGCCTTCCTGCTCCTTTTAATCCTGTACATGCTACAGGGTGAACAGGGCTCCATAGGATGGACACCCTTATTTCCTGGGGTCCTGCATAATGATTACCAGCCCCTGTGACTAAAGCATTTCTGTTTTTGAGGTTAAACAACACAAAAGTGTAGTTTCTCTTCAAAACTACCCCAAAGTGTGGATACTGTTTTCTGTTTACTAATCTTTCTGTAAATCCATGTACAGGAGTTTGGAGAGACCCAAGTATTTTTAATTTAATAGTAAGCAGAAGAGTGTATGTAATGAAAAGATTTATTATGAAACATCTGGCAAAAAAGGAAAGAAAATAATGTTAACTAAATATATATAGGTAGCTTTTATTAGGTTGCTGTATGAATAATAGGGATCTTTTTAAAAAGAGAACAAATTTAAAAATCACACACCGGCAAAATTTTTATTCTTCCCATCTACTGTGAGGTATGGTATTAAAAACCAAGAAGTAGTAATGAATATTGACTAAAAAGCTTTCATTACTTGAGCTGGGTAAAATATTGATATCTTGAGATTGTACAGGATAGCCCTGATATTGGAGTAGAACTATTTCAAAAAGTCAAAATAGAAATAATAACACACTGTTCACATCGCTCCTGTGAAAACCATAATACAGAATTATCCTTTATTTTGACACAATTGGGCAAAAAAATTTTTTTTTTAGCTGTGAGTATAACCATGTAACTACTAAGTGATGTTCACATGAAGAAACTCTTGTGCCTTCTGGTTTTTTAAATGGACATCTTAGCCATGATAAATGGAACTCGCTCAAGGCCCTAAGGTTGACAGACCCTTTAAATAGCTCCCGGTAGCCTGCTATTCGGTAAAGAAAATAATGCCCATCCACTCCATGAAACCGCAGAAGGCGTACAAGATTTAACAGTGCCTCAAAGAACAGGAGAGGAGGGCAGCATTGCCTGGGAGTAGAATGCAGCCGCTTTCAGCAATAATCAAAATAAGGAAATCAAGATTCACTGTCATGACATAGACCTTCACTGTAACTGAACTAAAAAAGTAGCATGTATGTTGCCATGGAATGTCACATCAGGGTTTGCTTTAGTATTAGACTGTAGGCAGTAACACTGATCATATAGTGCAAACTAGGTCAAACTGCGTTTCACTGCGGGAAAGAAAGAGGTGCAAATGCTCAGTAGGATACCATTAAGACATAAAATGGCAAAAAATAAATATCAAAACTTTTATCAGTGTAAAAAAGTAACTGGGTTATTGTATAACCTAGAGTCTGGCAAAAAAGGCCTCAAAAAAGTTCTCAGTCTTCGGAAGTTTTACAAATGAGGTGCCCTCTCCCCGGTTTCCAGTCACACCAGCGACTCCATGCTCTCGGCAGGATCCGACTCATCGGCAATCAGAACAGCACCATTTCTGTCCACCGTCAGGGGACCGTTTCCGTTTTCCTTAGTGCTGACCAAGCTGAGCATCGCTTTATAGACAAACTGGTATTGTTCCTGTCAAAAAAGAGGACAGCGTCTGTCAGTACCAAGGCCAAGAACAGCTTAGTCATTTCATCAAATGTGGAAATATCAGCTAGAATGTAATGGGGGAAATATAGCTGAGGAACAGGAACAAAGATTTATGCTGAGAAGTTTTAAATATGCATAAGATAGTCTTATCATGATTAATAAGGATAATGATTTGAAATATGTATTACAATAATTTGCATCCTTTCTAATCAAGATTTGCATCTCTTTGCGGTCTTTTTTAGCTCTCTTAGCTTGGAACTAATTCTCAATGTTAACAGTTGATTAAAACGATGAAAAACATAGCCTTATAAAATACAGAATACCATATTCTGAAACCTGGTCACTCTACCTCAGTACCCCTGGCATTTTACGACGGTGATTCTCTGTTGTGAGGTCCTGACGGATGCTCAGCAGCACCCCGGTTTTTATCTAGTAGACAAGGGGAGCTCCCTCCCCACAGCCTACAGTTACGCCAGTTCTCTCCCAAAGTGCCTTGCGGGAAAACCACTGCCAATTAAGAGCCACTGTTGTAAAGCATGATGTTTCCACTGATGGTGTTCAGGTTTCTCAGAAAAAACAAATGACTTACAATGTCTGTGAATACTCCAGGCCTCATAAGATTGATCATTTTTGCAACCTGGAAGACATCCACAGCATTTTCATTCTCCAGTTGCTGGGACAGAGTGGTAAGGGCACATAGCATTCCTGCAGAAACTGCTCCATACCTAAGGGAGAAAAGGAACAACAGTGATTATTATTATTTTTTTTTTCTTCTTTCCAGTTTTATGAAGAGAGCTCTGGTGGCTTAGTGGTAAGAAGCTGTACTGTCAACCCGAAGGTACATGGTTCGAATCCACCAGATGCCCTTCAGGAAAAAGATGGGCAACTAAATTCCATGTGGTTTACAGTTTACAAAAACAAAGGATTGAGTATATTGGGATCAAATTACCAATAAGTACTCTCACAGAAATTCGCTAGATTGCAATGACATCTATTCAATGCAGAAGACAGAAATGGACTAAACACTGGACAGGGGAGAAATCTGGAGGTTAGCATAAGGTGACACATGCTGATGAATATGAAATCTCCCAGACTGGCTTGTCAAGTGATGTAGCTTAATAGTTAATATGAAATGAGAAGTTGGAAATTAGGTTCAGGAAGATTTCTAGTGAAGATACAATGAAGAGGAGTTGGGTAATGTAATAGGGAAAATGATTAAAGAGAAATTTAACTATGTAAGAGGATCCTAACTATAGGCTAGTGAACAAGAACAAGTAGTAACAGACTATTACCGTATTGAAGAATGTTATTGATTGCCATCAAGTTGAGTAACCCTATGAACAAAAGGCCTGAAACCTTTCTATAACTATCATCATGTATTATCAAAGTTCCTAGAGTTTCCAGAGGCCATCTTGTTTAGGAAGTGGATGTCACTTCTGCTTTCAACCCTGTCTTAAACTGGGAGCTCCACCAAACACTGTCCATCATGGGTAACCATTATGGCATTTGACACCCCAATGGCACAAGGTTCAGCATCACAGCAACCCCAGGTTACCTCAGCATAGTATACTGACAGAGGAGCGCTGTGACTACAATACTGTTAAACAATCGCAAAGAATGAAATTGAATTTAGAGAACATCAAGAATAAAGTGGAAATGTATGTCTCAAAATGTAGTCAGAGAAATATCCACATGCATTTGTTATTAAGTAGTTATTTAGGGCACTGAAATAGAACTTTTCAAGTGAGAGCACTTTCTATGAAAACGTGTGGCGAAATAAATGAGTGTCTCTTGGCTTCACAGTGAAAGAATACAGGGAGTAGGTGTTAACAAATTCAGGCTAGGCTGGCAAGTCCAATTTTCTTAAGAACCCGTGATGACATGTGTTGTTTCATGCTGTCAAGTCACAACTGACTCAGAGCTGACCCTCTAGCGAGTTACTAGGCTGTAACTCACCCCAGAGATGACTACCCATCTGAGCTGCTTGCCTTTGCACTGGAAGCACAACTCTACCCCTCGGCCATGAGAGTACCCCTGTGAGGTAGAGTTCCCATTTTAGTGATGAGAAAATAAATGGATTAAAGGAACTTTTGAAGATGGTGTTGCGAGGTGGTGTCCCGGTGTCAGTGCTTCAAGTGAACCCATCGGGAGAAGATGTGGCAGGTTATGGAAAGGCCTTGGAAACCCTCAGGGGCACTTCTCACTTCTCTTCTGTCCTTTCTTGCTAATGTTCTGTACCGTTGAGCTGCATCTTGCCCATCGCTGACCCTCTAGCAGATTTTTGGAGGCAGTAATTTGCCCAAGAGGAGGTTGTCCATCTATCGCTGGTGAAGCAGCAGGTGGATTTGAACCATGTGCCTTTGGGTTGGGAGTGCAACTCTTTGCTGATATGCTACCAGAGCTCCCTTCTGCCCTTCAGGATCACTATGAATTGAAACTGACCGAATGGCAACAAGTTGAGGCAGAGTGTCCTTTTAAAAAATTACTAAACATGCAGTTTCTGAATTTATTCTTATATGAAATTAAAGCACTACAAATGTTTTATATTTTTTATACAAGGAAGACTAAAGTCCTTCTTAGCTACCACCTTAACTTTAGAGGTAACCTGTTCAGAGGTCTACAGCCTACCAGGTTTACGTATATCTGTACCTTTCTGTCAGACTTGTTTCTATCTGCTGCAGGCATACCAAATAATAGCTGGATTTACTAATTTTGATTTGTATATTGTGCACATCAGTATAGAAACCATTAGTAGAATAGTTAAGTCAGTATAGAAATCATTAGTAGAATAGTTAAGTCACAAGTGTGCTTGTTTTCAATTTTAAAAATACTACCAAATTTCTCTTTCAACCTGTTCATATTCCTTCTAATGTGAGAATATTTGTTTCTCCTCCTCATTTGAAATTTTAACATTTTTTGCCACTATGATGAGTAAAATGATAATGAAACACTGTATCATACTTTTGCTTGCATTTGCATTTCTTCCATTACCAGGGAGGTTAAATATCTTTTTATGATTATTGATCTTTTCTATTTCCTATTTGGAAATTGTCTATTATCATATTTTTATGCAAATAAAACACATTATAATTTTTTCAACTGCATCTTTTGCCCATGGTACTCTTCCTAAGTATGCTATGCTAATTTCTTTATGGCAATAAACATACTTTGGCCATTTTTCTACTAGGTTTGCCTCTTTCAAATGGATTTGTAGGAGTTATTTTAAGCTCTATTTTCTGGTTGCTCTTAGCATTGTGACATTTTTTATTCTACTAAGATAGAAAGAGCTAGCAACAACCTCCTGCTATTGAGCTGGTTCCAACTCAACGTGACCCTATTTATTAGACAGGATGGAACTGCGCCCACAGGATTCACAAGAGTGTAAGTCTTTACAGAGGCCTCACCTTACTCTCAAGGATCCCGTTAAGGGTGTGAGTGGCTCAATACTTGCCCCCCTGAGCCACAAGGGCTTGGGTAGGTGGTTTCTTAAAAAAGCTATGTGTTTTTAAATTTTATTTTTCACATGTTTAATATAAATCCAGTTGTAGTCATTGTTAGATATAAAAAAAGAGCGTGAGGTTGTGAGGGAGAGAAATAAAGAAAGGAACTGGTCCCAAGAAACGAACAGGCCTTTATTGCGCGGTCTGAGGGGGACACCAAGTGACCCAGCAGCAGGGCATGCAGACAGGATCAAAATGGCACACTGGCAGTTTGGCAGGTTTCCTTTTTATAGGGGCCCTGGGGAGGACTAAGATGGTATTTCTGGAATTTGACATGTTAATTAAGTTAGGTTTTAGCACCTTTTTTCCAAGCTCAGACCTTTATCAGGATCCATTGTCTGGTCTTTGATATGACTAGCTTAGATGTTATCAAGTTTCTTAGGAAGTGATCAAGCTTGAGGGTGGTGGGGCAACTGCCATATTCTTCCTTCAGTTATTTTTCTAAAGAATAACTCATTAGCCAGACTTCCTTTATTTCATGGTGATGTGCTGCTGTTATGCACCTTTGAGGTCAAGTATGAACTAACTCCAGCTGCCTCACCTGCGTGTTTTCGAAGGCAGGAGAGGAGATGGCTTGTCTGTCTGTCATGGCGCGTTCAAGCTCTGCGTTGGCAACACAACTCCTGTCCGCTAAGCGTCAGAGATTCCTTGGTTTGGGGGCCTGATCTTTTCTTTCTTTTATATTCATTTCCTTACAAAGTTCATAAATAGTGTTTTATACTATTCTTCATTCTTTTTATTGACTTGAGCTACCTTAGCTGTTGTGTACCATCCAGTAAGAACCTATATGGGAAGCCAATACTAAATAGTTGTAATAAACTGAGTGTGGGGGAGGTGTGGTTCAAGCTGGAGTTAACCCTGAGGCATCAAGGCAATCCTTAAGGGTTTACCAGATTCTTGCATTGTATTTGCTGACCCCTCCCTCCTGAGTCAAGGGAAGGTTTCCAATAGAAAGAGCTTGGCTTCATATGCATTGAATCCTCGGTGATTTACTTCCAGGTAATTTTCAATAAAGATACTGGGAAGCTGGAATGGGGCCCTTCAGTCAAGAACTGCTGCCCCCCAGTCTTTACTCTCTCTTTTTTATCTCATTCCTGGTTGTCTGTCTCATTAAAAATAATTATGAAGCGACCCCACCCATAGCTGACCCTCCAGCGAGTTTTCAGAGGCAGTTAATCACACAGGAGCAGACTGTCCATCTTTCTCTGGCAGAGCAGCTGGTGGATTTGAACTGCGTACCTTTGGGATTGCACATGCTAAGTTCCCAGATTTGTTTCTTAGCTCTTTATGGATCCCTTAACCAGTTTCACCTGACTTCTTGTATTTCTTTCCCATCTCTGTGTATTTCATTTCTAAGGGAAATTTACTTAATTGTCTTAGCTCTTCCTCTGTTTATTGTTTTTCCACATTATTTTCAAACCAAGGGCCACAACATTTTTTGTTGGGATTTTGATTAAGTGGTATCATGTTGTTGTTGCTATGTGCCGTCGAGTCGCTTGAGACTCATAGCGACCCTATGTACAACAGCCCTAAACTCTGCTCTGTCCTGTGCCAATCGCACTCTCTGACACTCCCATCCCGATTACCACAGTCACTGAATCAATCCACCTCATACAGGGTCTTCCCCTCCTGTGCGGTCCCTCCACCCTCCCAAGCATGATGTCCTTCTCCAAGGACTGGTCTCTCCTTACAACATGTCCAAAGTATGTTAGACAGAGCCTCAGAATCCTTTCCTCCAAGGAGCCACCCGGTTTAACCCCTTCCAGGATGAATCTGTTTGTTTTCCTAGCAGTTCATTGTATTCTCAATACTCTTCTCCAGCACCACAGCTCAAAGGCATCAATTCTCCTTCTATCCTCCTTGGTCATTGTCCAACTCTCTGATGCATAACAAGTGATTGCAAAGACCATGACCTGTATCAGATGCACCTTAGAGACACTATTGCTCTTCAGTACTTTGGAGGTCCCTAACAGCAGACTTTCCCATGGCAATGTGCCTTTTAATTTCCTGGCTACTGGTGCCAAGAGTGTTGACTGTGGAGCCAAGCAGACTGAAGCTGTGAACAATCTCAATCTCTTCACCATCCATCCTGATGCTGCCAATTGGTCCAGTGGTGAGAATTTTTGTCTTCTTGACATTGAGACTCAATCCATATTGGAGGCTGCAGTCCTTGACCCTCTGCAGCAAGCACTTCAGGTCCTCCTCAGTTTGAGCAAGCAGGGTTG